AAGGAAGCCTTTGACTTCCTTTCCTGCAGATGGTGGGGCCAGAAACGACCACAAGGTCCGCAGAACTGACTGCACGAGTCACATCCGAGCGCTGTTCACTGCTGGGGGCTGAGGGCTGCAAACGGTTTCACTGGGAAACCTAAATGCAAGGCTTGTACAAAAGATTTTTCTACTACAATTTTTTATTTTGAAATTCTGCATATGACAGTTACTTCCCAGGGACTAACTAAGATCTACATTAAGAAAAGAGCAAGGCTTCGAGGTCAAAACGTATTACATAAATGACACCTCACAGCAAAGCATGATTGATAACCTAATGGTAACAAGCCTAGCAGGTATCAAAGGTTGACTGATGGAAGAAACACTCAGGAAGGGTGAATATTAGAATATATGGTTAAGTGAGGCCCTGGGACATTCTACATAGAAAAGCAGACAAGTTAAGGTAAAAAGTTTTATCAGACACATGAGGAAGACCTTAGGGGTTGGTGAATCGATGACTGGATTGACTGTAAGAATGGAGCAGTGGCAAGTGAACCATCCTCTTCATTGTCCTCGCTCAACCCCAAAGTACAATGCTGGAAGTGATGCAAGAAACAAAACATCAAGCAGTTAGTACAGTGCCTGTCAGAGGAAATGTACAGTAAGACTCCCTTCAGTTCTGTTTCATACCGAGGTGGTCAGTATCTATAGAGTTAAGAGAATTACTAGCCATTAATAGGAGAAAATCGTGAATGCTGACAAGAAACAATATCCACTGAAGACATTTTTCTATGCTATGAGTTATTCCATGGAATGAGCTTAATTGTTCCTGCTACCACCTTAATTCAGTATTATTTAGGGTAATCTTTTATCATTGGGTAAATCTGATGTAAAAATAACTGAGCAAAGTGGAGCAGATCCTATAGAATTGTGAATTCTTAAAAATGAGTTGTTTTACTTCACATTACAACTGATACAAGATAATGCCAAGTTCTTCCCAGAAATTTATTGAAAGTAATCCCACCAGAAAGGTGATCCAACGAGTGTGGAAATTATCAAACAATATCATTGATTTCACACGCAAGCAAGATTCTGCTGAAGATCATCCAAAACGCCTGGAACAGTTTATCAACAGAGAGCTGCCTGAAGTCCAGGCTGGATTTAGAAGAGGCCGTGGCACTAGGGATATTAGAGCTAATGTCAGATGGATCTTGGCTGAAATCAGAGACTAGCAGAGGAATAGCTATCTGTGTTTCATTGACGATGTAAAGGCATTTGTATGGATCACAACAAACTGTGGTTGACTTTGAGAAGAATGGGAATCCCAGAACACTTGATTGTGCTTATGTGAAACTTGTACTTGAACCAGGAGGCAGTCATCAGAACAGAGCAGGGAAACATTGCATGGTTCAAAATTGGGAAAGGTGTGCCTCAAGGTTGTGTTCTATCTCCATATCTTTTCAAGCTATATGCAGAACAGATTATCCTGGAGGCTGGGATCTATGAGGAGAAGTGTGAAAACAGGATTGGAGGTAGAGTCATCAATAATCTGCGTTATGACACAACCCTGCTTGCTGAAACTGAGGAGGACCTGAAGCACTTGCTGCAGAAGGTCAAGGATTGCAGCTTTCAATATGATTGAAGCTCAGCATCAAGAAAACAAAGATTCTCACCACTAGGCTGACTGGCAGCATCATGATAGATGGTGAAGAGATTGAGATTGTTGACAGCTTCAGTTTGCTTGGCTCTACCATCAACACTCTCGGAACCAACAGCCAGGAAATTAAAAGGTGAATTGCATTGGGAAAGTCTGCTGTCAGAAAACTCTCCAAGGTACCGACGGAACAACGATGTCAGTCTGGAGACTAAGGTGCGCCTGATACAGGCCATTGTCTTTGCTATTACTTGCTATGATATCTTTGAGCTTTGGTGCTGGAGAAGAGCATGGACTGCTAGGAGAACAAACACATTTGTCCTGGAGAGTGTGAAGCCAGGCTGCTCCTTGCAGGCAAGGATTCTGAAGCTTCATCTGACATAATCTGGACATGTTGCAAGGTGGGATCAGTCCTTGGAGAGGGACGTCAAACTTGGGATGGTGGAGGGACAGCACAGGAGAGGAAGACCCTCTATGAGACGGATTGATTCAGTCACTAGGGTATTTGGGATAGGCAAGTTGGAGACAGTAAGATTGGCAAGGGATAGAGCAGAGTTTAGGGCTGTTGTACATAGAGTCACTATGAGTAGCAAGCAACTCGACAGTACATAACAACAACTTGTTGTTGCTGTGTTGTCAAGTTGGAATCAATCCATGGTTGACCGTCCAGCGGGTTTTCAGAGTCAGTTGATCACACGGGAAGAGGGTGCATCCTTCTCCCACAGAAAAGCTGGCAGATTGGAGCTGTGTGCCTTCAGGATTGCAGCGCAACTTCTTACTCTGGGCCACCAGAGCTCCCAAAGGGGCCTTAGACAAAAGCTGCATCTGTTTTCAGAAAACCAGCCTTCACTTGGGAGCACCTCATTTCATTCAATGACAGAAGGATCCTCACTGAGGGAACTGCCTGGACCAGGTCCAGGGAAGAATGTTCCACTCTGTTCTTAAATAGATGTACTGTTTCTCTTTGAGGCATGTGTTTTTTGGTAAAAAGGATTTAAATACGTATCTTGAATAAAACTGTTACCTTTTTCTTGCTATTGGTAGGCACTGGGTTGACTCTACCTCACAATGGCTTTACATCTACCAAAAGGAAACACGGCCTGAGCTGTTCAGCCTTATCTTCATGATGGCTGATATGCTTCAGCCCATTCTCGAAGCTACCGTTTCAGTCCACTTCTCTGCAGGTTTCTCTTCTTTTTGCTGATCCTCTACTTTTGCAAACATGTTGTATTTTTTTAGCCAGTGATCCTTCCTGAGGACGTGCTGAAAGTCAGTAGGATGAAGCGGTGCCCTCCTTGAGTCAAAGATGAATTCTGCTTTTACCAGATAATAGGTAAAGAGGAAGTGGGAAGAATCAATTTCTTCATTTCAGTAACTTTGTATTTGTATGACATCTATATCCCACAGAGAAAGACAGTCACAACAATTTTAAGGTCCAGCTGAATATGAATATTGGGGGAAAAGTACATGTTTACAATTTAGAATGAGACCTCGGTTTCCTTTCTACCATGATTATTTTGTAGTAATTTGTAATTGTGAAATTTCATTTTTAAAAAAAAATTGTTCAAAAATTTCTCATATAAAAATTAATTTATCAACAGATTTTTACCAAAGTTAGCAGATAACCCACTTAAGAAGAAATGTACTAGTAATGATAACAATCTTACCTACTTCTTACCTGAGTTTTCATTATCATTTTCTATGACTGACCTTGTGAATGATAAAGGAACAAAACACAAAACATCTAGGAGATGAAGTTAAAATTAAGCCAAGACTACTACATCTTGACAAGGAGTTCTGGTGGCTTAGTGGTGAGGAGCTGCACTGCCAATTTGAAGAGAGGGTTCGAATCCAACCAGCTACTCTGAAAGATGGGCAGTCTCCTCCTTTGCGATTTACAGCCTCTGAAAACCTGCTGAAGGGTTGGTTATAAGTTGGTTTGAACTTGATGCAACACAACAACAGCAACACCTACATCTTGATGGGCAGCACAAAGTTTAGGATGTACAATTATTTGAAGTCAAATAAATGCAAAGTCTTTCAAATCAATGTTACAGATCAAATTCCCTGTGACCTGCTTCCCACTCTAACTCGGAGTCACAGGACCAGTGGGAGAGAGCTGCTTAGCTGCAAACTGCACAGCTCATTAAATAAGAGTGTGGAAGGCTATACCAAACATGGTCAAGAATATGTTAAATTTTAAAAGATTAAACAAAGTTTAAAGGCAATGGTGGTTTAATTAATGAGTCTTTAAGATGCATTTAGAAAAAGTATTTCCCCCCCTCTTATGGCTTTTAAACAGCTCAATGACAGCAAAATAGTAAATCTAAGTTGGTGCTGGAGTTCTACAAAAATAAGAAAGAACGTAATGTCTTAATCATTTTTTTAGTCTCAAGAAAGAGGAAGAAAGAATGATAGATACAGAGACAGACTGAGAGAGAGAATGGAACAAAAACTAACTTTCCAGGCAGGGAAATACTTATAAAACCTTTTATGTCAAAGTTAGGATTTCACAACATAACACACTAATGCAAAATCCAGTAGCACCTGTAAGAAATAAATAAATGCTGCCATCACTTAAATGCTTTTAAATATCTGTAAAAGGCTGGGGTGGGGGGTGGGGGGAAGAGATAAAGTACATTCTCCAAAGAACAACAAATATATTTCAAAATAAAAACTGTATTTTTGGTTTTTTCTTTTTTTTTGTACAAGAATTCAGGTTTTTCATATAATAACTTATACACAATAGGATCAATCTCTGCTCTTCTCCTCTGTGTCACTGTCAGTCCACATGTTCAGGCTATAGTCCCTGACATTGTTTTCTGATAAATATATGACCACAGTTTGATCTGAATATAGATACATTATATATTACTTGTCTCTGGGAAAATCAAATTTCAATATGCAAACTTTTATTTATATAGTACAGAAATGGATAAAACTACAGTAGGCACACAACCTAAGTATGACGTCTAGATGGTGATTTCTAGCTACTCTCCTACTGTAAATGAATGTTTAAAAGAGTCTTAAGAAGATTTTAATTCTATGTGCACTTGTGATCACCTTATCCCATACACTGTACATGTCTAGTGACAATCTGGGAATTAAAAGGTGCAGCCCTCAAGAAATTGTTAAGTCACTAAAAATAAAAAAAAAGAAACAATTAGCCTCTATTGGACAAGGAAAAAACTCACAAAATTTCCAATTTTAAATTTCATAGCAGTAGGAAAATATTAAAAATAATTTTCTGTATATACATATGAGTATATGTATATTTTGAATTACACATATGTCTCATATCAGTACAATTCAAGGGTGGAGACATTTGGATGACTTCTTTTCCTATTAAATGACTGATGTCTATGTTAAAATTTAAAAATATTTTATTATATCATTAAAATAATTCACCTACCATTTCAACAACTTATACTGTTTTTTATGTTTTTAAATTTTTAACTCTTTATAACGAAATTTTCTGACCCTATGTTAAATCTCTTATTTAAAGTAAAACTTGGTATTCTTTTACTCAGAAACTGATGGATAAAATCACATCTCCTTCAAAATCCCATCAGTCAAATACATTTTATGACCTGATTTATCAGAGAAGTCTCTCAGCTCTGAGCATGTGTACCTAAACTATTCTCCCTATAATAAACCGGTGAGAAAAGTATCTTAAAGTAGATGGAGGTAATTTCCATGATGTTACAACACAGATAGTACATGATTACTGAGTGTCTAATAGAAATTGTTCAGATATCTGAAAACTCACTTTAGAAACTAACTTTAGAAACAAACCATTTATTTTTCACTCTAATAGAAATTAATATGTATGTATTTACGTACATACACATACATATAAAACAAAATTGTCTAGTCTTGAATAGCTGTTTGTGAGTGAAAAAAATGGTTACAAATTGATAAGTTAGCTTAATTTATACTTAACAATTCGATCATTTTGGGGTACAAACAAAAAAAGTCAGTGCATTTGTAGACTCCATAGAGTCAGATACTCAAGCATACACTTTAAAAAAGACCCTCCCTCAACATTACAGGCATTGTACAGCAAGAATATATGGACTCTGATGCAATTCCTATTCCATAGCAGACTACACAGCACTTGGCTTACTTTTAAAATAGCTCCTTAAAAGAAATATAGTATATAAAGAAATGCATGTTTGCGAAAAGTCTTTTAAAATTACATCAAAACAACATTAAAACATGTTCACTGAGAATAGCCTATTGAATTGAGTTCCTGTTTGAAATGCCTAGTTAACAGTTCAGAATATTGCCTTGTGAGGTTTGAACACAGACATGGTTGATGTGAGGACCCAGGCAGAGTGCATGTCTCCATCCCCATCTGCCAAAATCACAATTTACACACAGTTCTGGATCGGCTGCTGGATGGAAATGGATCCCTTTGAAAATAGCTATACACCTTAAAATGATCTATAAGAAACAAGTCTCAAATAACCATTATTATTCTTAAATTGAAATGCATTGATCATTCAGAAAAGATTTCTTGCAAAATATATAAAGAAATGTAACTGCATATTCTGTAAATATACTTAGCATTGCTAGGCCTGGCCATTCAGGACGGGCTGCGGTAGTTCAGTTCTATGTCAAATTTATTAGAAATTTAAAAAGAAAAATTTCCGAGGGACTCAGCTGCCTTCATTAGCTGGCTTTAAAATGTATAATAAAATGAGAGACAGTATCTTCTCATAAATACATGGAGTCAATATGGAAAAGGAAACTATACAGTGGACACAATTAGAGAACACCAGAGTGTACCAGAGTGGTCACCAGAGTGAAATTTCTTCCAGTATAAAAAAAGGGAAGAACTCTATCCACACAGTTAGAGTAAGTATATTTCAATTAAAGATGCAGCTCTCTCTCACTCCTGGCAAGAATTAATTGGTAATGGCACTGCTTCTCAGCAGTGCAAAAGTATCCTGAGAAATTATTCAGATTACAACAAAAGACAGGGCTTTCCTCACTAAGTTGGTTTTTTTTTTTGCACAAAACACAGCTCTAGATATCATAAATAAATTAATTTAAAAAGCAGATAACCTTCACTGTGTTGAACACAATCAGGGGATGTGACCCAGACATTGTTAATTCTCCCATTGACTAACATCAGGGAAGAAAAAAAGGAAAAAAAATTGCATTAAATGTCTATTTTTAACTTTCTAGTTAACTATGGCCAATAATATACAAGGAGGTAATTTGTAGTTCAAGTTTCTCATCTCTTCCCCCACCCCTCACTAGCTACAAGCAGAATTCTAAATTTTACACTGAAATATACAATTCCAATTCTCAAAAGCTCCTCCACTTGGAGGAGTCATATTTTTTTTAAAAAAAATTGTGCAATCTTGATGCAGAGCCCAAACAGTCCTATGAAGAGAGACAGTGTTATTTTTTAATCTATTGGCACTGAAATTTTACTTTCCTTAGCTGCATTCAAGTAACTTGGCCAAGTTATCTCGTAATTCTGTTAGTTCAAATATCTTTCCATCAAGAATTTCTAAAAGTGTCTTCAGATTATTGCGGAAAGCTTCTTGTTCATTCTGACTTTTCTCCAGACGTTGCTCTAAGTCAGACAGTTGTCCCTCCAGGTCTTTGTTCCGAATTTCTACTTCCTTTAGAAACAAAAATGTAACATGAAGGTCAGTGCATCGCTTAGAGAGTAATGAAGTTTTCTGTTATTACTCACATTGGGGTAGTCTCTGCAGTGTAACAGTTTTGGATAAATTGCTGTGTATCAACACAATGTAGGGAGATTTCAGATTTGCCAGTTGAAAAGTCCACATATTTTTACTGGCTACCTTGTCCATTTCCCATCTATTTATCTAACCAAGATTTCAAGACTGCTTATCCATGTTAAGCAACACTTCAAATACCAACATGGGACAGAAGAGTCAGTGTGTGGAAATTTTTATTTCATTTATATTTTTGCCCAGCACTTTTTTCTAAGTTTTATAGTACTCTAAATAAATGAATTATTCTTTGTTTACTTAAAATCAAATACATATATGTTGTAAAGAATACAGCGTAACTAAAGGTGTTACAGAGAATATAGCTTTGCTAAAAATTGTAGCAAAGATCCACTTCTGAGAATTAAAAAAGCCAACAATTCCAATATGCTGCAAATTAAGGAAAAAAATTGAAAATGGGAAGTAAAGGTTAATAAAAAAAATCTGTTGTTAATTTTTAAAAACATAGAATAACATCTGACATACATATCTGCGCATGGTAAATATAATAAAGTGACTTTGAAAAAGAATACAACAGAAAGTATAGATTTAAATTTGGTTAAAAATATAAAATTGGGAAAATTGGCAGAACATCAACTAATAAAATGATAGTAATCAAAGAAGCAATAAATTGAGTTCTGTATCTTTTATGAAAAGTTTACTGACGTTCTAGAAAATTAAGTGACAGACACATACTATATTCAAATATACAAATTATGGAGAACAATGAAAATATTTTTGTCAGATCCTATCAAATCTAGCATATGTTAAAATACAAAGGACAGAATACAAATCAACAACATTGTAATGGGTAAAATATTTGTATCCAGGAGGACAAACATGAGTAATTAATATACATGGGAAATCATTCCAGGGCTGCATTACTGGCACTTTTTTTGGGGGTGGGGGGAATATGTTTCTCATAATACCATTAAAAGGCAACTTCTATGAAAAATAATTGGGAAATTGCCTTGAATATATATATGACATGTAAGGGTTAGTGTTCAAAATTACTTTCCTAGTAAAAAATTAATTTGACTTTGCCATGTGGATGGGCGGGGATATGTAAATAGGGCATGTGAGCCTATCCACAAGGAGACTGTCTAGTCTCACCATGAAATTAAGCAGATCTGGCAACAAGATCTTCCCACCAGAAAAAGAAGAAGCAAGAGGGCCTACGAGAGCAGTGGCCATAGTAGCCACAGGACAGAACCAAAGACTTGACATGAGATGGGACCTTGGGATTGCCACACTATTGGAACTGGAGCCAAAGGCCTTTGCCCAAGTTTGCTGGACAGCTGGGGGTGGGGTGGGGGTGAGGCCATAATTCACAAGACGGAGAAGTTTGTAACAGTAGCTTAAAGCTGCAAAGCTCAAAGCTGAGGCGACTGTAATCAGCTTCTGGAGGCAGTCCTGACTGTATTCTGCTACTAACCTGGATTATAATCTTTTGATTTTTCCAACATGGTTCTAGGCGGTCTGTAGGCTATCACATTGGATTTGGGACTCAGTATGCAGTGTGATTGATGCTGGAATGAGTAGAAAGGTGTGTGGAAGGATGGGAGACATATCTAATCTCCTGGGAATTGGTTTTTGTGTTGCTGATGGTGTTGACTGGGACAGTTCCCCTTTGTAAAGCTAGTAAAGACCAGATAAGACTGGTCCCACATGGCTTTTGATTTTTTTATAATATATGTAAAAGTAGCAACCATTTATGATTCTGAACATAAAGAAATGGATGGACAATCTCCTCCTCCCACGTGATTTAAAGTCTCTCAGAATCCACTGGAGGGTCAGCTATTGGTCAGTTTCAATTTGATGGTACTCAACAAGAACAACAATATGCTCTAATAGAAATAACCAAAGACAAAGCTTAAGCATACGAAAGAGATGCAAGAGCCCCCCCAAAATAAGAAAGGAATAAAGTAGCTATAATGATTTATAAATGAGGAGTTTAATGCATCCCAATCTAATCTCCTCTTTTCCAAGAATCGATGCCTTTGAGGTGTGGTGGTGGAGAAGAGTGCTCAATGAACTGCCAAAAGAACAAACAGATATGTCTTAGATAAAGTGAAACCACAGTACTCCTGGGTGGCAAGTGTGTTGAAGCTCCAATTTGCACACTTTGGACATGTTGCAAGGAGAGGCTATTCCTTGAAAAGGGACATTATGCTTGAAAAGGTGGAGGGTCAGCCAAAGAGATGAAAACTCTCTGCTAGATAGAGTGACACAGTGATTACAGAAATGGGCTCAAGTGTGTCAGAAATGAGGATGGGATTCTACTTGACAATTCTTAACAAAAGCAACCTCATCTCTAAGAATTTACTGTTAGATGTTACCATGCATTTTCCTCCTCATCTTTTTTTCCAAACAACTGGCAAAGTAAAAGTAATTAAACAGAGAACAGAACCTAAGACCAAGAAAATATAAATTCAGAAGCCAAATTCATGAAAGCTCTAAACTCTAAGGAATAAAACAGGCTCTGTGATCAAATAAAAAAATTCCACTCATGATTGCACAGCATGCTCTCCTGCCTACTTAAACAATAAGCTTAAGAGTAGGACGCTTCCAACTACAAAAATAGACTAAACATCATTCACTAGCAAACACCCACTTCACCAGGCACCACCCAGTTTGCCCTCTAAAGCCCTCCTTAAAAATGAAAGACTTCTTTGTTATTCTAGCCAACCAATGAAATCCTAACCATTTCTAACAGAAAACGCAAAGCACAAATTTCCTCAGCTATTAAACAGTGTTGTTCTCTCTAGATGGGGTATCCTACTCTAAGCCAAATCTCTGGAAGAATTTTTATTTACCTGATAAAAAAAGAGGTTCAATACAACACTGACTGTGTTAGTCTATTTTTAGACAGAGAGACTATGTTCCTAAAACAAGAATAGAGTTGGCACAGGGGCGAACAAAAGGCTAATGAGACCATAGTTGGTAACATGTTCTTGTTTTCCAGCTCTTTCCATCTTGCCTTTCATACTCCTAACTCATTCTTCTGCTCATTATTGTTTTGTCTACTATTTTTCCCTTTCTTAATATGTAAAGTAGGGAGCTCTGGTGGCTAAATGGTAAGGAGTTGCAATCCCAACCCAAAAGCACATGGTTCAAACCCAACTGCTGCTCCAAGATGTAAAGGTGGGCAAACACCTTCTATGCGATTAACTTCCTCTGAAAATCCACTTGAATGTCAGCTGACTCAGTTCTGACGTGATAAACAACATGTCAGGAACACGTCAGGAAAACACAGACATGGTTCAGCCAGATAAAAAGCCTGTAGGCTAGAATTTGCTAACCTTCCAGAGTTTTGTTGTTGTTAGGATGACAAAGAACCAATTACGACCATCCTACGAACAACAGATCAGAATGTTGCCCCAGACAGGGCCATCCTCTACTTTTACCAGAATGGTGTCTTTTGTTCAAGGACTGTTGCTTCCAGATAACATGCCCAAAGTATTTGAGATGAAGTTTTATCACTCTTGCTTCTAAAGGAGCACCCTGATTACACTTCTGTAAGACAAATTTGTTTCTTTGGCAGTCCATTCAATGGTCTTCATCAATACCACAGTACAAAGATGTCAATTCTTTCTTGGTTTTCTTATTCATTGTTCACTTTTTGTTTGAATATGAAGCAACTCAAGATACTAGGGTTTGAGTCAGGAGCACTTGGGTCTTTAAGTTGACAGCGTTGCTCTTAAGCACGTTAAGGGGGACCATGAAAACTGATTTTCCCAGTGCAAAACATATTTTTTTATTTCTTGACTGCTGCAACCATGGATGCTGGTTGTAGATCCAGGCAAAATCAATTAAGTGAATAAGTTATTGTCTTTCTGATGATGAGATGTAATTCATATTGAAGGCTGTCATCTTTGATCTGTAAGTTCTTTAAGACTCCATTTCCTAAAAGCAAGGTTGTGTCATCTCCATAATGCAGGTTGTTGAAGAATCTTCCTCTAATCCTGATGCTACATTCTTCTACAGTCCAGACTATAGACTATAGTACAGACTATTCTATAGTCCAGCTTACAGATTGAAGAATATGGAGAAAGGCTACAACCCTTTCACATACCTTTCTTGTTTTATACCATACAGTGTTCCCTTGTTCTGTTCTGACAACTACCTTCTTGGTCTTACTATAGATTTTGTAGAAGCACAATTAAATATTCTGAGATTTCCATTTATCCCAATATGATCTATAATTTATTATTATTTACACAGTCAAAAGCCTTGGCTTCCTCAATAAAACACAACTTTTTTTCCTGGTATTTTCTGCTTTTAACTTAGAACTATCTAACTTCAGCAATGATATCCCTCATCACATAGCTTCTTCTAAGTACAGCTTCAATTTCTGGCTATTCTGCCATTTTAAAATAATCTTCAGCAGGATTTAACTTGTATGTGATATTAATGACCTAGTTGAATAATTTACACACTCTTTTAGATAATCTTCTTTGGGATGGGAACAAATATGAATCTCTTTCAGCCAGGTGGCAAGGCAGTTTTTTCCCCTAAATTTCTTGGCATAGGCTAGTGAATGCACATCCAGGCTACCTCTGTCTGTGGAAACATTTGACCTGATTTGATTAATTACCAGGGCCAATGCCTTTCGTGCAGCTTGGACTTCTTCCTTCCATATGAACGATTCTTGATGTTCACCAGTTCTTTTTGGTGAACAGCACGCACTGATTCTGTATATTTGTTTCATTATCTTCTCCATGTTTTTGAAAGAGGATAGCATGTATACAGTCCCCCACTAGCACAAATTATGCAGCCAAGTTTCCCACATTTGGGGAAATTGCAAGAGTCAGCACATCAAACAAATACTTGATAATAGAACACCTGGGTGGATACTGGAAAGAGGATAAAATTAGATCCACATC